CTGCAGTCTGTGGTTGACTATATGAAGAGTCTTGTGCGCTTCTCGTTCCAAAATTATAAAATTGCGTTGATATTTTCATTAGGTGGTTACCTCCTTCCCTTTACTTTCGTCCATTCGTGTTATGCGAGTTTTAGCATAGAGAACGTGGAAGCACTTTTCCAGAAACAATTGGACTTCCGTTTTTCTTTGTGCTAAAAGCGTTCAGTCACTATCCTGTGCTTCTCAGCTGATCACTTCATGTGTTACCAAAATACCTCGTTGTGGTGACATGTTGTAACTTGTGCACCTTTAAACCGTACGTGATTGCATCCAGTGCTTTGCAAAACGTTAATTTTGGGCTGTTCCATCCATTGATGAGATGATGGATCGCTCACAGCTAGTGTGCGACGTTCACCAATATTTTCCGCGTTTATTAGGCCATGCATTGATCACAGATACATTGCCTCGATAAATCTTTTCTTATTTTGTTGCGATTCCTTGATGGTCTAGTGTGGTAATAGAATTCAAAAATGTTTTGATTCGTGTTCTCCATTGCCAACGCAAGCATTATTAGAATCTGCTAATAAAATTGTGACACTTCCCTGAAATTTTCGCCCTTTCACGTTTGTTGAAGAACGAATCGACATTTCCGATCCCATATTTAAGTTGGCCATCCTTCCTCCATTTTCATTTCCTCTCCCTATAAGTCTATAGCCACGATTTGATCATTCTGCGACTCGTAATTCACTTGCTGTGTCCTGTTCTTATTAGTAAGCAACCGAATCGCCTTGCGAAACGATTCGTTGAAACTCCATACACTTATTATCCTTCTATGTAATTTGTCCTCGAATTTTTTTGTCCATTATCTGTTCATTGTTCCCGTTGATTAATGCTGGACATGAATTTGCCATTCATCCATTGAGGACGTTTTTCGCTTGCTATACTTTTTTGCTACTCTTTACGATCAAAAGTTATTGTATACCCCCAAATTGGAACTTAACTTTTGTTGTACCAATGTACTGGGGTTCACTCTTTAGCTGCTCATGGAAAGTCGAAGATAATCCACTTTAACATTAATTGTGGATACTATTTTTCACACTTTCTTCCTTTTATTTCCTTATAACAGACATAGTGAGAAAGCGCTTGGGCGAGAATGCCTTAGAATCCATTAATGACTACCGACTCTGCTCATGGCTCAGCCACCAAGAGGATGTCCACCGAATGGTCTTCTACATCGCTGACAGTCATTGCAGTCCCTCTGCATGGACTCGGCGTTGCCTGCGCCAGGCCGACTGCGTTGTTCTTCTCGCTCTTGCTTCCGCTGATGACCCTACAAAGCTTTCACCCATCGAACAAGCGCTGAGCGGCCTCACTACGAAGGTGACAAAGATACTCGTTCTCCTCTATCCGCTGGAAACAGAGTATCCACCTGCAAAACGCACCGCAGCTTGGCTTAACGCTCGACCTTGGGTTACACAACATTACCATATTCGTTGCCCTCCTCGTGTCCTCAACCCTACAGTGAAGAACCTTATTAAGTTTTATAGTCAAGTTTTCCTTTTGGAAGAACCGAATCAGCACTCGGATATGTCACGACTGGCGAGATATCTCACTGGGCAGGCGGTGGGATTGGTGCTTGGTGGAGGAGGGGCCAAAGGTGCTGCTCATGTGGGAGTCATCCGTGTGCTCCAGGTGAGTGTTAGTTTTTTTTAGATCTACTGTAATTGTATTGAATGCGGGAATGGCTTTGATGGTAAC